TTAATAGTAAAACAGATCATATAATTTAAAATCTAATAGTACTATTATTGTATTTAAAAATAAAGTTAAAAGAACAAATACTTAACTATATATTTATTAAAAAAAAGTAGGAAAAATAAATTATATATAGAAGATCTGATGAAAATTTATAAATTAATGAATCTATTTTATATAAATAAAATTGTGTAAGTATTTTATTATAATATACTTAATATACTTATTAATTATTCTTATTAAATTTTATTTAGATAATAAAAATGAATTCTGAAAATATAAATGCTTTTAATTTTTTTAATTTTATTAAATAATATATAATTAATTCTTTAAAATATGTAAATATCATACTCAAGGATATTTAATATACATGAAGTTAAAATAAATTATTTTAACTAATCAAAATGATTAAAATGATCAAAATATTTGACTTTAAGGAAATCCAAAAGTCAAAATAATTGAAATGATATCATATTACATGATTTTTATATATAGAAAAACTAAAAAATATATATAATCTCAGTCAATATTACTTTGATTTTCATAAATTAATTACCAATCAATTTCTTGTAATTAAATAGATCTAATGAACTATATTACATTAGTTTCAGATCAACTAATCTTAAGATAATTGTGATTGTATTTCAAAAATTTAGACCCTTTATTTAAAGTTAAATTTATTTGAATTATAATTTTAGCTGATAATTCAATCATGATTATCTTAAAATTGGTTGATTAAAAATCAATGTAATATAGCTCATTAGATCTATTTAGTTGAGATATATCTATCAGTAGTTATTTTATAAGAATCAGAGTAATATAGACTGAGATCATATTTTTTTATTTTTTTATATATGAAAAATTATATAATGTAACATTATTTTGACTATTTCAACTTTGACCTTTAAAGTCAAAACATTTTAACTTTAGATTTTCATTTAGACTTTATGTATAATATTTAATAACTGATGATAAATATTATTTTAAATTAGATGATAATATAATATGAGTAAAAGTAATGGTATATAAATAAATATATTATTTATTTATTTATTGTATTATTTCATTTGAAATGATTATTTATTATCATATTTTTATGACAATTTTTCCAATAAATAATTTTTGTATTATCTGATTAAACTAATTGAAATTGATTTTTAGTTTAACACAAATTGATATAGAATTAACAAAATTTATAATTTTTAATATAACAATACATACGATAAGGATTAACAAAGGTAACAAAAGTCATAAGAAAAATTATGTGATAAAAGAAAAATATTTATTTTAGAAAAAAAGATTATATAAGATGAATAAAATTCAGAAGAAAATAATTTAGATAAATTAAATATTAAAGAGAAAGGATAATCAAAAAACTGAATGAAAGGTCAAGAAGTTAGATAATTAATAAACTGAATAGATAGTCTTATAGAAAGACAGAAAATATTTAAAAATAATAATTGAAGAAGTAACAAAAAAATTATACAAAAAGTACAATAGTTAGAAATGATGAAATGAAATTTATGTAATATAAATGTAATATATAACATCATAAAAACAAAAGAAAGTTCAATAGTGAAACATAAATAATAATAAAATTACGTTTAGTAAGAAAACAAAATATAATTCAATAGTAAAACAAAATGTAATTCAGAAGTAGGAAGTAAAATAGCAGAACTAAAGTGAATATTAAGTATCATATAGTAATAATTAGATATATTTATTAGACGAAAACATTTCTTTCAGCACTAATACCTTTTGATAAATATTCTGCTGATTTAGTCATATAATTTGGCAAAAATTCAGCTTAAGTTACAAAATTCAATAGTAATTTGTTACATCACATATAATTTGGCATTATTTTAGCATTAAAACCTTTTATTAAACATTTAGTTGATTCAGTCATGTGATTTGACAAAAATTTGGCTTGAATTACAAAAATTGATAGTAATTTATCAGACCACACATAATTTAACATTATTTTAACATTAAGAACTTTTGGTTATAATATTTGTCATAATTTCAGTTAGACTCAAGATTTGGCAACAAATCAACTGTATCTTATTGGTCGAAATCTGTTGAACCAATTTTTACGAAAATTATAAAAACATTTTCTCAAATCATCCTAAAAGGAACAATACATTCATTCCTAAAGAGATGATAGAAATTGTCTCAAAAAGAATGATATATTCATTCCTAAAAAGACAATAGAAATTATTCCAAAAGAAATAATACAATCATTCCAAAGAAAAAATATATTTATCCCTAAAGAGATGATAGAATTATCTCAAAAGAGACAATAGAAATCGTCTCAAAAAGAATGATACAATCGTCCAAAAAAAGATGATAAATCAAAAGGAATGATACATTTGTCCCTAAAGAGATGATAGAAATTATCTCTAAAGAAACAATGCAGCATCATTCTGAAAAACAATTATTTTATTGTTCTTTTTAGAACGATGTCATTATCATTTCAAAAAAATTATTTTTTTATCATTTTAAAGGTATAATTCATTATCATTTAAAAAGAACGATTATTTTTTTTATCATTCTTTTAGAATAATATATCATCATTCTAAAAGAACAATTATTTTTTTTATCATTCTTTTGGAATAATATATCATCATTCTCAAAGAACAATGATTTATTTTATCATTCTTTTAGAATGATTAAATTATTATTCTGAAATAACAATTTTGATATTGTTCTTAAAAAATGATTAAACTATTGTTCTGAAAGAATGATTTTTTATTATTGTTTCTTTCAAATAAATTTTATTATTGCTCGTAAAAAATGATTAAATTATCATTCCTTTCAAATGATTTTATCATCATTCGTAAGAAACAATCAAAATCATTGTTTCTTTCGAACAATTTTATTATTATTCATAAGAAATGATTAAATTATCATTCCTTTTGAATGATTTTCTATATTATTCTTAGGAATAATCAAAATATTGTTGATTTTGCTGCAAAATCATCTGTTTGAAATATTTATGATAAATATTATAAATAATATCTAAATTTCAGATTAATTGAAATTTTAGTTTAATTTGTTTATAGTATAAAACTGATTAACTTTCAGAATATTCTGAAAAATTTTTTTTTTTTTTTTTTTTTCCTAGTGAGATGATTTTTAGGCAAAAATTTAACTTTTTACTTTCTTTTTTCTTGTTTTCTTTAGGAAATTCTTATTTTAGAATTAAGGTAAATGAATCAGAAATGATTTTTGTGACATTTTCCTTTTTTTTTTCTTGTTTTTTTTAAGAAATTCTTATTTTGGAAATTAAGGTAAGCAAATCAGAAGTGATTTTGATTTTTAACTCTTTTTTCTTTATTTTTCTTTATTTTTTTAGGAATTTTTTTTTTTTTTCAAAACTAAGGTAAGCAGCCTTTTAAAGATGACTTTGAAATGGTTTTTAATACTTTTTCTTTGATTTTTTTTAGAAAAATTTTCTTTTCAAAGCTAAGCTTTTCAGAAAGTACTTTTAGATGATTTTTAACCTTTTTTTATTTTTTTCATTTTCTTTAAGAATACATTAAGGTAAGCCTTTTAGGGGTGGTATTTAATGGGGTTTTTAACTGTTTTCTTTATTTTTTTAAAAAATACATTAAAGTAAGCCTTTCAGAAGTGATATTTTGATGTTTTTTTAATTGTTTTTATTTTTTCTTTACTTTCTTTAGAAATACATTAAAGTAAACCTTTCAGAGATGGTTTTTAGTGAATTTTCTAACTGTTTTCTTATTTTTTCTTTATTTTCTTTAGGAATACATTAAGATAAATAAATCAAGGATGGTTTTTAATGGGATTTCTAACTATTATTTTTTTTAGGAATACATTAAAATAAGTCTTTCAAAGGTATTTTTTTAACTTTTTTTTTACTTTCTTTAGGAATATATTAAGGTTAGCCTTTCAAAAATGGGTTTTTTGGTAATTTTCTAACTGATTTCTTTATTTTTTCTTATCTTTAAAAAATCAAATATATTTTTTTTGAATAAAATATAATATAATATATATTCTTTTTGAGTAATTCATTATGTAATAATAAAATAAAATTATAAATCAAAAAATGAGTTCTATTAGTTTTGATTTTATAAATAGTTGCTTAATTGATTTTTGCTGATTGTTAACTGATTTTAAGCTGAATTTTGACATAAATGCTGATTGATAGCTGATTTTCTATTTATTTAAAATGCTGATTTTTTGGTAATGATCGGCAGAATTAGACTATATTTAGTCAACTTTCAGCACTTTAAATGTGATGAATTGTATTATTTTGCCTAGAGATAAGGCTTAATTTATAGTTAAGATGTGATAAAATGTAGGTATTGGTCGTTTATTTGATATGTGATAACAAATGAGTACTGCAGTGCTTTGTATTGTACAAATGTTTTAATAGATAAAAACTAAACTATCTAATAACTTAACTAAACTTATCTAAAACCGAACTGAATTAACTTGCTTTGACTAAAGAATTCTCAGCTATATTTATATAAAATGAAATACACAATGATGTTAACTTAATAAAATAAATATAATAAATAAAATAAATACGATAACGATAACTATTCTATAATAAAATAAATATGATGCTAAATTTATTTCTATTTTGACATTTATTAAAAAATATTTAGCGATACATCAAAATAATATCAAGAAGAATTATAAAGAAATAGTCCAAACCTAAGTAACACCGGATTTTCTTGATTCTATTACAATTCTTTATTGGTGAGAAATCTTTGCTACGTTAGAATATCTAATAATTTAAGCGGGCTTGAAAAGTATTCCAGATAAAATGATTATAAATTCTTTAAAACTTATCAAACTATTACGGGTTAATTAAAACTTTAATTAAGTCGGTTAATTATGTATATTGTGTAAAATTGATATTTATCAGAGCAATATTAAAAAATTTTTATAAATAAAATTTTATTAAAAATTACAAAATAACAAATCCATCTAACAAGAATATTATATTACATCCAATTACAACATTCTTACAATCCTCATTCATCACATATTAATTCCCAGTCATCAACTATATCCTCTTCATTAACTGAATGAACTGTAGGTGGTTGCTTTTTAAGAGATGATGACTTATTATTATTATTGCCACTACTGCTACTGCTACTGCCAATACCAATATCCCAAATAGACGCACCACCTTTTGTAGTACCACTGGAAGTATTGTTGGATGCATTCGATAAAATTTCAAAAGGATTAATATTCCTAATTGAAGAAGGAACCGATGGAACCAAAGGAATCCTTGGATGCCCTTCATTCATATTTTTAGCAGGCCCATTAACATTGTTTAAGATTTTTACTCTGTCACGCCACACTACTTCAAATTTAGAATTTACCCAACAAAGTTCTACCCATGCAGCAATCCCTTTGGGAATTATAAGATCTTTGAATAAAAATTTTAGCTTTACTAAAAAATTTTCCAATTCATCCATATGAATAGAAGAACCAACTGATGGTAAAATAATTGCGTCAGCATCTGATACCCATTTAATCTGAAACTTACATCTTCCCATTAATGGTTCTATAACTTTTTGTAGTTCTTCTATTGTTATTCCAAATTGTAATTCTACTAAATAAATTGCATTAACTGGTTGTTTTGGTTTACGCACTAATTGTTCAAGTGCAGTTGTAGAAGCAGCGCTATTGCTTGATTTGTTATTATAATTATAATACGCTTGTGAAAGGAGGATTGGTGGAATTATAGTATCGGCTTTCTTTTTCACTACGACACTTCTCATAGGTTCGACATCAACACCCTCTGATGACAATCGATAATGAACACATAGCATATGAATAAACTTTCGGTGAGGTGACTTCATCGGTGCCAAGTTTAATGTAGGTTTTTCTGACTTCATAATAAAATCTCCCAAGGTTTTTTCAATATTTTTAGCCCATTCCTTGTTAACAGCAAAATATTTAAATAGATCCTCCTCATATTCCGGAACAGCTTTAATAAAAGGTCTGATAGGTAATGAATAAAACAATTATTAACTCTTGAAAACAACACATACATTTAATAGAATAAAATAAAACTTTACGTACCCATCACCAACACGATCAGTAATCTCTAATGCATCTGCTAATTTTTTATTTCTTTCGGCTAAAGCACAAAAATCATTACAAGTTAATTGTCTAATTTTCTTTTCTAAGCCATTTTCTGCTGTAACATTACAAGATACTTCTTGTGAAAGATGACCACATTTACAATTAATAACAATTTTGACCCGGCATGGTACATCTTCAGGACATCTTGCTGGGGCATGACATTGTGCAGAACAAGGATGACCACAAACTTTACGTGGTTTTCCACAAGTTTGAATACATTTACCAGAAGTACTCTGATTTGTTACTAAACAATCACCTGAATGACAAGTGCGTTTACAACGATGACCTCCACAATTAACTGGCAAATCACATACTTGACCGCAACTTACATTTGTTCTATGACAAGGTACGTTTCTAACCTCGGATTTACCACACATACATTTTTTGTTCACTAAGAAAGGACAAGGTGGGCAAGGCTCTTCATCAGAATGACAAGGATGTGCAATATCTGAATGACCACACTCTCTGTTCCTAATACAAGAATAAGGGCATGAAGGAATTTTGAATCCACATGGAATTGGTGGTTCAATCTTTGTACGTCCACAAGGACAAGTTAATTCCTCAAATGATGCTTCTAAACAATTCATACAATATTCTCTATGACACAACAATTGACAAAAGTGATTACCACATTGTAATTTCTTTCCACAAATTAAAGGACAACGATGATTCTCATCGTCATCATCTTGTGTTTCGCCTCGTCTCTTTTTAGGTTTATTTGCAGAGGGACAACATCGAGTAACGCATTGATGTCTTCCGCAATTTCTAACGCCATTACAAATTTTATCACAAATAGGTGGTTCCCCAGTCTCGCCAACTACCTCAAAGCAAATCCGTTCATACTCCATATTTCCACAACGACATTTGACGCGTATACGTACATTGCAAGGCTTACAATCACCATGATGGCATGTCCCTTGACACTCATGACCACATGAAAGCGACTTTTTGCATATATTATCACAAAGTGGTATTTCCTCAGTACAAGATAATCTTTCATGTCCAAGTAAAGAAATTATGCTTTTAGAACCACATGGACATGTCTGCACTCGTGATGGATCTAATGGACAAGGTTCAACATCACCAGTAACAGGGTGACACTCTTTTGCACAGGAATGATGACCACATTCCAACAGTCTGCTACAAGCATTTTTACATGAGAAAAAGCCAGTCCAAGTACTAGATTCGCCATTACATTCTTCGTAACAATGAATAGCTATTCCATCACTACATCTTGCTTCTCGTTCTGTTTGTCCGCAATAGCATTTTTGTATTTCAATTATATTACATTTAGGGCAAGTTTCATCATGACATTCCTTCTCACAAGAATGTTTACCACAGCCTAACAGTTGACCACATATTTCACCACAAGACTTGCCATTATCATAATCTGTATCGATACATCTAAGTCTAAAGGTCTTTCGACCACAATAACAATATTGAGTAGGTGCCATAGCAGAGCATGGAGGACAAGGTCCAGGATGACATAACCTAATTTAAGGTTACGAAATAATGGTAAGTAACTACTTATTAAATTCAATTTATAACATAAATAAGAAATATAAACTTACAAAGTACAATCATGAGGACAATCACGTTTTCTGCCACAAACATTCCCACAACTATGAGGAGTAAAATATCGATTATTAGACGGATTTTCTGTTTTTCCTGTGATAATTTACATGTAAATTTAGTAAAAATTGGTTTTAATACAATTGAATTCGAGTATATATAAAATAATAATAATAAAACTTACCACAAAAGCATTTGTATACTTCCGGAATGACATCACATCGATTCTGGCAGCCTGGACAACGCCATGATGTAGAGTCGTTAAATGACTTATTTGCCCATTTTTGAGTGCAATTAAGATGAAAAACTGCCCAACATACTCCACAAAACCAAGTTTTATTATAAGGACGTATATTCTCACAACAGATCATACATTCATATGTCGACGTTGATAGACCATGTGTGATAGATGTAAGAACGTCCTTAATTTCTTTAGGAAATTTATTTATTGATGAATTCTTTGGACGCATATGATGAAGAGAAGTTCTAAGATTTGATGATGATGCTTCTGTTATAGAAACAATAGGTCTTTTTCCTTTAGGATCGGATTCGTCAATTTTAGGTTCATTATTATTTCTGTCCACTGATTGAGGATTCTTTGGATTCTTTGAACGAAATCTGTTTGTTTCACTATTTGAAGCAGCATTGCTTTGATTTGAATCAAGAATCGAACTATTAGATTGACTTTCATTTTTTGTAGCGAGTTCTCGCCTTTCATTTGGATTTGGGCCTTTAGATTTATTATTACGACCCTTATTATATTTATTATGTTGATTACTTGGCAAGCTAGAAATTGATGAACTTATCGCTGAAGTATTTTGTCCATTATTATCTTGAACATCAATATTGTTATTGTTATTACTATTATTATTATTATTATTATTATTATTATTATTTCGATTTTTATATCCATAACGATTTTTACTATAACCTCTACCACCGCTATATATTAAACCTCGATTATCACATTCAGAGGGATTATCAATATTACTCGGTGTTGAATTATTTCGAACAGGTGGTTGTGGTTGTTGATTGTCATTTAATGTAGAATTTGATCGTAATGGTGTGTTTGCAGTTGAAGTTTCCTGGTTGGAGTAAGTATATGAATTGTTATTATAATAATATCCGCCTCTACCACGACGTCCTCGTCCTCGACCGCGACCGCGACCACGACCACGACCGTGATAGTTATGTCCATTTTCTACTGTTCTAGTATTTTCAGTTCCAATAGAAGATTCATTAATAGTGGTTGAAGGAGTCGAAATACTTGGATCAACCGACGACGACATATTAACAAAGTGATTGAATTTAATAATTTTAAAGAATATGTATTTTCTTTTAATTATAAATAGAATTATAAAAATATATTTAGAGGAAAGGTAGATGGAAAGAAATAAAAGAAAGTGTTGAATTCTAAAATAACATTCGATCCCCTACAGTATTTATAATTTTTAATTTATGTGGCGTATGATTATTAATACTGCGGTTCTGCGGTATCATTGCTAAATTGCTAAGCCGAAAATTCTTTGTATCGCCTTTTTGGGGAAAGAAATTAACACGAATACAAGTTTTTTTAAAACATCATTTTCATTGTTATCGATAATCAATATATGTGAATTAAGTTTCTCGTGAAAAAACATTATATAAATACTTTATAATAAAAGAATTTGAAATAATATAAATTTTACTCTCAAATCATATTTATATATAAAATAAATAAATTTTTTATCTTTTAATTGAATAAAAAAAAAATTTTTATAATTTAAATATTAATATTTTAATCAAAATTTTTATATCAATTTTAATAGTAAAATATATAGTTATATTTTATATTCATTTTTAAATAAATTCTGTATTAATAATTTTATAATAAATTTTGTTATCAAATCATAAAAATTCATTTTAAATTCATTTTTACACAATTAAAATTTAATATATTTTTGCTCATTTACATTGATTTTAAATTAAATTTACTTTATAATTAAATATGATTTTTATACCAATATTATTATATAAGTATAATTACGGCTCCATACCGTGCGCAAAAAGAGAATCTTATAATATATTTATTGTAAAACACAATTATTTTTTCCATCGGCAAATTCAACAAATTGTAAATTTTGTGCCACATGAAAATCATGTTCAATTGCCAATTCTTCATCAACTAATCCTGGATGCACACGTTGTAATTCATAAAACAATAAATAACCATGACGACTGAATTCATTGAATAACATGGTCGTTTCTTGTAAGAAATTAAATTTGGTCACTCTTTCATTATAATCAAGATCGTCCAATCTGAACCATCCTTCCTCCTATAAAAGTGAATTATATAATGTTAATCATATGTGAAAAGTGATAGATATAAAAAGGCATCTACATACATCATCCAAAGTAAAACCTTTGTAATGCCCTGATGTTAGATTGGTTCCATAATGACAAACAACTTAAATAAATCAAATAGAATATTAGAAACATATATTTATAATATATATTGTAAGTTAAACTTTTATTACCTGATCTTAATTTTAAACGATAATGAATATCGATGCCACAGTGACATGGAGGATCATCCGCAGCATCCGAATTAACGAAAGCATTAAAATTGACAAAGGGTGGTATATATACATTTTTCTTTATTCGAAATGGCTGCAACTTATCATTATAACCATAACGTTTAAGTACAAGTGGTAATATTAAATTAGTTGCAGGAAAATGTGATTCAACTGCATTTATCTTTTCACCTAAAGAAACATTTTTGTCAAAAATAATCAAAATCATCAACCATAAATGATTAATCAAATAACTATAAAAATCACCTTGCTCATTACTAGCAGAATAGAATGGCAAGAGTTTTAAAACTTGCCAAGCAGAAACTTCTGATTGTTCAAAATCATTATCAAAGGATCGTTTTATTCCAGAAATTACATTGTCATGAAAATAATTTACTAATGCTTCTTCCAATGAAACAGGCTTTTCATCCATTGGATCACCAGGTATAGCAACCTGGATCAACCGTTCAGTGATGACACGTTCATCATTTGGATCAGCAATTGCTCCGTGAAATAAATGCATCCCAAGAGGTAAATAAGGAAGTTCATAAAGACAAGATAAAAATAAAAAAAATTCACTAGCATCCTCTTGTGTTGGATTTCCACCTTCATCATTACCAATCCACCCGCAGTTTATTAATTTTTCACGCAATTGCTATTAATTTTCAGCAAATCAATTGTGAAAATATCTATTGAAAACATTACATCATATTAATCTTAATACTTCGGCTAACCTTAATAATATAAGCACTCATAAATTTGCCTGATCGAAGCCTATTCACAAATAATCTTAATTGTGTTTGTAAACTTCGCGCATTCATCCCTTCTGCCTGCACAAAAAGAAGACCATCAAATGATTGAATTCGAGCAAACATTGCAAATAAAACACTGTCTGTGTAAAATAATGTTTTTATTAAGGTATTCACACTTTATAAGGCAATTCAATATGTGTAAAATAATTATAACCATACCTATGTAACAGCTAGTCACTCGGTCGTTTTCACACCCCAGCATTACTATGTCTTTCTGTATATCTACTATTATCCCTTCTTCAGCTTCCCTTAGATCACTACAATATTCTGCCACTTCCCTTACATCCCATGCATTTCGTTCTAAAAGTTTTTCTATTTGATATGTATCCAAAGGATGACCCAGCTCCTCTAGATACGTTCTTAATTGGTCCACTTTACTTTCCTGTTCAGATTCATTATTAGGAACTGGTGAATTTCTGCGTGAGGTAGGAAATAGATAAGAATTGATGCTGTCTTTCAGTCTATGAACTGGCGAACGAGATCTACGTTCTGCATTAATCTCTTCAGCATTAATCTCTGTACCAAGATCCATATCAAAATAAGGTTAAATTGAGCGAGAGAATTGTCCGAACATTTTAAATCATATGATTTGTGTAACGAATGGTTCATGCATGTTCACGTGATATTTAGGATATATGCCAAAATCTTTTTTCGTTTGGTTTTGGTAAATACACACCTTCGAAAAATCAACCGTAAATAGCATTTTTAAACAATGGCAACACTTGCACACCACTCAAAATCTAAAAAACGCGTTTCTTATTTTTATGATGGTAAATACAACTCGCGGTTTATTTGAAAGATTTCTTCGGTTTTTTTTTAAACGTTATAACTTTTTTTTGCAATATTTTTTTAGAGGACGTTGGAAACTTTACCTACGGTCAAGGTATAGGTATAGTTTCTTTCATGCCTTGCATTCGCGCGCTTACACGTTTTTGACCCTAAAAACTAAAGTGATCTTTGCACTTTCATAGGTCACCCGATGAAACCACACCGTATGCGAATGGTTCATGATTTAGTTGTGAACTATAATTTATTTAAAAAAATGGAAGTTCTCGTATCCTTTATATTCTTTTTCAACATTAATACTACGGATTATTTTATTAATTTTAAAATTAATAGGATCATTACATTTTATGTGTTGTCTTTAATTCAGGTAAAAATAACGTTTATTCGTTAAAACTTATTTTCTTTTTAGAGTCCAAAACGCGCTACTCCGAGACAAATGACGCGATTCCATACGGATGAATATATCGATTTTTTGTATAGAGTCACGCCTCAAAACGTCGAAGAATTATCAATGCAACAAACTAGATGTATGTTTATTACATTCATCAGATGTGCTTGTTGTTGGCCTAATTTTTAAACCTTCTCTCCGATTTATTTCTGAAATATTTAGTTAATGTCGGTGAGGATTGTCCAATTTTTGAAGGACTTTTTGAGTTTTGCTCAATTTCAGCTGGCGGCTCAATTGGTAAATTTAAATTATAATAAACACAGTAAGAATTTCGCAGTATTAATCGACCTTCCTTGTGTAGATGCTGCTAATAAATTAACCAGTGGAGAATCAGATATCGCGATTAATTGGTCCGGTGGCCTTCATCATGCCAAAAGGTTTGAAGCATCTGGATTTTGTTATGTGAATGATATAGTGCTAGCTATTTTGGAGTTATTAAGGTAAGACAATGAATCATCTCTAATGAATTTATAACGATACGGAATGATTTAAACGCGTTTCTTTTTTTCTGTATCACAAGGTATCATCAACGCGTTCTCTATATTGATATCGACATACACCATGGAGACGGGGTGGAAGAGGCATTCTATACGACAGATCGTGTGTTGACTTGCTCCTTCCATAAATTTGGTCAATTTTTTCCGGGAACTGGCGATGTCTCGGTAAATTTGAATTTTAAACTAACAACATTGTATGTAATTATATCTTTTCGATAATCTTAAAAGTACTATATTACATTTTAGGATGTTGGTATTGGCTCTGGGAAACATTACGCGGTAAATTTCCCGCTGAAAGATGGTATGGACGATTGGAATTTTCAAAACGTATTTCGACCGGTATGTAAATTTCGGATCTTTTTTTATATTTATGTGTTTATGCATTTATTTGTTAATCGAGTGATCTAATATAAACCAGGTAGTACAACATATTATGGAATGGTATCGGCCGGGAGCCGTGGTTTTGCAATGTGGTGCAGACTCACTTGCGGGTGACCGATTGGGTTGCTTTAATTTGTCAATGAAAGGACATGCTGCATGTGTTGACTTTGTTAAAGACTTTAATCTCCCATTATTGGTCGTTGGTGGGGGTGGATATACCATACGCAATGTGGCTCGCGCATGGACATATGAGACTGGCCTTTTGTTAGGAGAAACCCTAAGTGAATGTAATTATCTAACACATAATTTTATTGATAACTTGACAATTATTAATATTGATTTTTAATTTTGAAGATCTACCCTTTAACAATTTTTTGGAGTACTATGGGCCTGAATATAAATTAGATGTTCCAGCTAATAATATGGAAAATATGAACACACCTGCTTATTTGGCCGATATGAAGTAAGTTTTGTCTAATCTATCAATTAATACTTTTAGTCTTGAATATAATTTTTATTTTAATTAATTATTTAGAGCAAAGGTATTTGAAAATTTGAGAAGCATTCCTTTTGCACCAAGTGTTCAAATGCAACGTAAGTAAGTTTTCTTCAAATTACTTGATAAACAGTTTTACGTTTATTCAATTTCTACTTTCTTTAGATGTTCCAAAAGATTATGAATCGGAAGAAGATGAAGATAACGAAAATCCGGATATAAGGATGTCACGTTAGTATAAACATCATAATTATGTTTATAATAAATGTATTATATTTAAATGACCCATTCATAATATGTTACAATTTTAGAACGACAACGCAATACACTTGTCGTGCCGGAAAATGAACTTTCGGATTCAGAGGATGAAGGAAATAGACGAAATGAAAGGAGTTATCATAGTAGTAATGGAAAGGGAGAAACTTCAACGCGCAAATCGCGTGCTAGTCATAAAAACTCTTCAAATGAACATGAAGGACGCGCAACGTCATCTCGTACACACAAATCAAGCAGTGCAGCTCGAGAACGTAGTAAAATATCAAAATCATCTCGTCCGTTTGCAGATGATGTAAATACAACATTTAGAAGATCTAGCCCTTCGGCAGATCGTCCTTCAATAATGATTTCGTCATCAACGAGTACTACACCTAAACCAGTCGTTTCATCAGTACCTGAGGTGACGACGAAACTGGAACCTGAAATACAAGAACCTAGCGCTTCTTCAACTCAGGTTGAAGAAACAACCACCACCAAAGCGACTGAAAACACCGAAGACAATATTAATTCTAACAGTAACGATAGCAGTAATGATATTAAACCCGAGATTAAGGAAGAGAATAACGATAAGAGTAATGAACCAGTCGCAATGGAAATAGACACGAATGAACCATCTATAGAGAATAAACAAGAAGACCCTGATGAAGTTACAATGCAGCAATAAATTAAAAAAAAAAAAAATTTTTTTTTGTGGGAAAATTTCCCATTCATGTAAATTTCTTTTGAAATATTTTATATTGATTGAGAATACATGGAGCATTTATTTATATATATTGTCTGTAAAACATATAATTTAACATATTATTGACCTCTTTTAGCAATAGCCTACAAAATAATAATAATAATAATAATTTATTAGAAAATCTTGGACCATTTGCAAAGCTTTTCTATTTACAACATAATAAATTTTCCTTAGGCGCTCACCTTTCTCACATTAACTATATCACCTTTCTTACCAACAACTTTATTTAAAATATTTAAACTTGATTCTTTTTCTTTCTTAACATCTCCAATAATTGGTTCAAACTTAAAAAAATCAATTGAAAACTTTTGTTACTTTTTGAAATAAAAATTTAAAATCATTTTAGGATGTTAACATACCTTTCTCTTTACACCTTTCAATTTTGGTTCCCCTTCCAAACGTTTATCAAACTTTCCCATGCTAGCTGTAGCTGTTTTAGATACGATAATTTGTTTTTGCAATTCAGCTCTCCGTAGTGAACGTTCATTTACACCATTTAAACCCTTTGATTGATTTGATGCAATCTCTGCTTCTTCAACATTCCTTCTATTGCGTGCTTCATTCTTTGTAATACGTTCTTTTTTTGCTTCACGTTTTTTGGTGAATTGATCCTCAAATGGATCTGTAATAAAAAGAAATAAATAATTAATTAATTATACTTTAAAGAAAAGATATTATAATAACCTACCAGCATTATCGGGAACGGGAATCAACCAATCATTTGCCCCATCATCATTAGTACCCTTATATCCCCATCGAGGAACCCATTCACCAGTAGCCTCATCATATGCCATTTTACTCTTTTTACGATGTTGCACACCCTTAACCTTTGCGAATTTCTCCCATCTTGTTGGAGGTTTAGGTTTTGGTAACTTGTATTTTATTTTATTTTTTTTTAAAAAAAAAGAGAAAATCATTATAGTAAGTTAGTAAATTAGTAAATTTATTATAAATCAAGGTAAAACAATAAAACTTACAGGTTTCTCTCGCGGTAAAACGGTAACAAGGTCGGGTAATTCAGCCATTACACCAAGTTCCGAAGACTTTATAGGTAAATTAAATATTTGATTGATTATGAGTTGAGTACCATCTCTTGTATATTCTTCAAGATAGTTATCTGTGTCATTTCTTTGAAGAGAGGAAGAATGGAATGGAATATAAATATATGAAACGATAGTTATAAATCAAATGATAACAATATAATTGATGATTTACTTTAATCGTGATTCATCTAAGGCATTTGTATCAAAACCGGCTAATATTGCAAGATCATATTGTAAAGGAATTGGTTTTTCTACCGTTACCGACTTACTTTTTTTTTTGATATATAAAGAAAGATAATCGTCAAAATATAAGAGGAAGAAAAATAAATGAAATTTAAATTAATGAATTAAATTAAATTAAATTAAATCTGTTAATTATAATCATACAATTTCGATTTTTGAGTTGAATCTTCCATATTTATGAGTAGTATCAAATTATAAAAAAAATTTTTTTTGATAAAATCTTTTTTTTTTAGGTACACGTGATTTTATTACCTTTTTTTAGATTGTTTGCATGTGCGTATCAAAAGTATGGCATGTTGTACGACAAACAGTTCGATGGATCCCATTACCAATTAAGGAAAATGAAATCGTGACCATTTTTTTTATATGAATTCTGAGTCGAAGTATTTTTTTTTTCCATGCCTTTTTGTTTTCAAAATCTTTTTCTTTCAACATTTATTATTGATTGTCGCTCTTTGTTCACATCCCAACTTAAGGTTTTAAGAATATATATACTTTCCATTTAGTTAATTAGTTGAAAACAAAGAAAAAAAAAATATATAAATATATATTTTTTTTTGAAAGTTTTATTTCACTTCTTTATTTCTTTTTAAAATAACCATTATAATTATTTAGAAAAGAGGTGAAAAAAAGGAAACAATGAAAGGAAAAAAAGTTCAGAAAGATGATAACGACCACAAGAATAATGTGAATCAATCCATCATGGAACAATATAAGTTAATGAATACACATAATACTTTCACTTCTTCTGGTCATAATGCACAACGAAAAGAGGATTCTAACGTGAATAAACAACCTGATAATTCTTCAATAAAGACAATGCCAAATTATCACAAGATGCCAACTCTCGAATTGAAGGTAGGTATTTTCATCGGGAAAGTATTCGCTTTTTTTTTTTTTTTTTTGAATACGCGTTAAAAATTGCGAATTCAAATTTTTTTTTAATTTAGAATGCCGTGGCAAAATATGGAGTTAAACCTTTAAGCAAATCCGCCATGATTTATCAATTGGTCCTCATTTGGAACTATTTACATAGAAATAATTATTTAGATGATGAATCACAAGACCATGAAGAGATTTTATCGAATGCTGAAAATGTTTTGCCGATCAGCTCCACCAGTGTTTGCTTAATGAAAGCTTCAAACCAAGTAATTTCATCAGATAATATTGTTTGCATTAAAGAGTACCCAGAATTATCTAATAATACCAAACGAAAAGTAAAAAATTATATAATATCAAAGTATTATGATAAAATCTTGAGATATGAGGTAAACAATTGGATAATATTTAACATATATTTATATAGTATTTAACTTATTTTTATTCATAGCCCTTGCAATTTGATGACTTAATTAAGGAGATTGTTGATCAGGGAATTTTATGCACCGAAAAACAATTACAACATTACTTGGACATGCTTGTGATTATATATATTTTTAGACGTGTTTTTTATTTTTTGATAATGAATGTTATTGGTTAATTTATTTTTATTTGTTTATAGAATATAGTAAATAAGTCGCTAAAAAGATCTGATGAATGGAAGAAAGATCATAAGAAATTTAGTAATCACGTATACATATAACGCGAGATATTATTCTCCATTGCAAGAGTTTCGGATCGGAAAAAAATAATTAGCCAATATTAAAAAAGCGGCTTATTAGCAAATATATTTATTTTAAAAATATATAATAAAATATTACGTGAACTTGTATCAAACCTGATTTTTTTAAGGGTTGAAATAAAACGAGGATCTTGAGGGGTATTCGATAAATAGTCATGCAAGATGTAAACAAAATGCTAATCATTTGCTATGCATGCACCCCTTAATTAAGTATATTATAAAATCTACAATCCTACTATTTATAAAGTGGGAATCCACCTTTCGATCATCTTTTTTTAGATAATTCTATTTTATTCTTAAATATTTCAATAAGACTGAGTATTTCATCATCATCCTCATCGGAATATTCGTTTTCAGTTCGATTTTGTAATAAATATAAAGTTTCATGGTTCCTCTCTTGCATATAGATAAAGGACAAGATTTTGAGTTTAACAAATAAAGATAGACGCGAATGTATCATTGTACGTAACTTACCAAATACATCGGGCGGTATCAATCCAGTTTCAAGCAAATTATTCATTAGATTTATGATTGCTATAAATAACTTCCTAAAATATATTTTACAAAATAGCAATTATTTATTTATTTATTTTTTTTTTTACAAAAAAAAGAAAAAAAAAACCTGTTATTATCTTCTTTAACTGTTTTGATTCTTTCACAAATATTATTGAAACATTCAATTATTTCCAATGACATGAACTCAATAGATTGTTCAGGTATTTCAATAAAAAGTACGCATCTTAATATCTCCAGACTTACGAAAAATAGATCATCATTTAAAGAGTTTTTTAAAAAATAATTAAATCTTGCCAACAAATCATCATTGAATAAGAATTCCGATAGAGTTGATTCATGTTCAGAATTATAACTCGCTGAATTCGTCAATAAATTTCTTACGAAGCTTGTAAATTTTTTTTTTTAATATTCGTTAAGTTGCTTAGTTAATGGAATTATAATTAAAAGATTAGAAAAAAAAGGTCCTCCTACCTAGAAGCTTCGAACAATACGCGTGCATCATCTTCATTTTCATCATCATCGAGAATGGTTTGGATGATATTAAGCAGATCCATATCACCAATTAAAATCATTGCTTTATCAGGAAAACAAGCCAAATTAGCTAAAACACCTAACGATAATTCTTTGGTTCTATTGCGTGCTGTAGATGTGATTAACTTTGTATAAAAAATAATAATAACAAAAAAAAACTAGGAATCAATAAGATTTTAACATACCAATGAACTGTGAAATAGAAAAGGAATGATGGATATAATTGCTACCTTTAACATTATACGGTGAATTTGACATTCATTAACAAGTATATTTGCGTATTCTTCTAAACTTGATAAATCCCATATGGCACAAAGCGTTTGCTCAACTGCTGTATCTTCGAGCAATTTGTCACTGCTAAAATCCACTTCGTTCGTTGCCACGTCAATTTCATTTACCGCGTCGATGCTATTATTCTTTATGGCAGCAAGAATGTTTAATACTATCCCAGCCACAGAATAAACACTAGGTCTCTCAGTTTCAGCTTGTGAAATATTAGACATTGATAAAGTTACTCGTTGGAGGCGCGATTTTTTTTAGTGGAAGTGGCTTATATTAAAACTTAATTAAAAAATTAAAAAGGAAACAATAATTTAATATTCGCCTTCCCCCTTAAAAAGTATGTCACAATAAAACTTTTTTTCAATTACATACATTTATACATTATGATGTAAATCTCATCCAAATATAGGTTGAGAAATTACTAGTATTTTAAAAAAATATACATACTCCTAGTAAAAACAGGTTGTCGCTTTTTCCCCTTCTCGACTCCCTTATTTTATTTTTATTTCCTTTTTTATATGATGATCATGATGTTGTTTGAATTTGAAAGGATATAAAAGTATAGAAAATTTACTTACTTTCCGTTCCTTTACTTGTTAATTAAATTGTTTATTTTTTTTTATTTTCACTTTATTCTTGTGTTTATTCTTGAGGAGAAATTTTTTTTTTTAAAAAAAAAGAAAAAAATACAAAAAGAAAATCAAGAATCCATCATTTAAATAATTCCATCCTTTACCTTAATCATTTCTCTCTGTGCCGCCACATTTTACGATAAATTTTCTCCAATTTAGGAAGAAAGTGATTAATATCTATTTTGACAGGCGGTTCTCGAACCAAAATTAATTAATTTTTGACTATTTCCACGTGTTTCAGCTGAAGCAGCTTATTTTAAAATATCATTTTAATTGTCAGATAAAATACTTTCTGATAATATTCTTACAAAAGAACTTGGAAATATTTATTATTTTTTTTTTTTATTTTTTTTCTAATTACGAATAAAGCGGTATAACTTTATAATGTCGAGCAGTAGTGAAAGTACCGAAACAGTTCAAAGAAATAGGTACATAAAACATTTTCTACTTGGAATTTTGTTTAAACATTGAATAATAGTGTGTGTGAATTTAAAAATAAATCTCTCTCTCTCATAGTGTTGTCGTTAAAGTTGGTATGGTGGGTGACTCACAGATCGGTAAAACAAGCTTAATGGTTAAATACGTAGAAGGGTCATTTGATGAAGACTACATTCAAACATTGGGTATTTATAAATTCAGATAATATAACAATAATCAAAAACTTTTTGATTTATCTATTTTTTTTTTTCGTTTATCTTATCTAGGTGTAAATTTTATGGAGAAAACAATCTCTATAAAAAACACAGAAATAACGTTCAGTATATGGGATCTTGGTGGTATGTTTTTTTTCACAAGTCAACGTGTCATTTACCGTGTGTTCGCTTATATAATAATATACATTGTGTGTAATTTCTAGGTCAGCGAGAGTTTGTAAACATGTTGCCTTTGGTATGCAATGATGCTGTCGCCATTCTTTTTATGTTTGATCTATCACGGAAGTCCACGCTAAATAGTATTAAGGAATGGTACAGACAAGCGAGAGGTTTTAATAAGGTATGATTCCATCTTTTACTGAAAAAAAGGACAATTTAAAAATTCCGTATTCGGCTAACATTGATTCATCTAAATGACGTAATAGACTGCGATTCCATTTTTAGTCGGAACAAAATATGATCAATTTGTTAATTTTTCAAATGAAGAAAAAGAAGAAATAACAAAACAAGCACGTCGCTTTGCTCGTGCGATGAAGGCTCCATTGATTTTTTGTTCAACTTTACATTCGATTAATGTGCAAAAAATTTTTAAGATCGTTCTCTCTAAAGCGTTTGATCTTAAATGCACCATTCCAGAAATCAAAGATATTGGTGCTCCTATATTAGAGTATAATGCGGCTTCTTGATTGAACCTTATCGAGTTAATCTAAAATATATATATACATATACATAAAATAACGTGTAATAAAAATGAAGAATTTTGATACCTTGTATTTATTAATATTTTATATCTATTATTATTATTATTATAATTTGAGTCAAATGGTTAATTGATTCGAAAATGTAATTTAGTAATTTTTTTTTTTTATTTGTTTTCTTTCTTACTTAATTTGGATGTCTTTAATTTACCATACATGTATTATTTTTGTATATTTCTTATTTCTTATTTATTTAATTTGTACACTTATTGATTGCAAGGTAGAACATTATCTGCCCAAAATATTATCTTTAATATTAAAAATAAAATAAAAACATTAACTAATAATGTAATTTGTTGCTTCTTTATTTTACTACCAAATTCAATTAGCACGTGCATATCTGATGCATATTATGCATTATATGCAAATCTTTAATACCCATTCGAGACTAATAATGACGACTTTCTTTTTATTAGTGTCTCAAACTTTTTTTTTGTCACTCATTTTATTTTTGTTTTCCTAGACTTTCATACTCAGATTCAAACGAGATATTTAAATTCTAAAATGCATAATTCCAACCCTTTTGATACAACGGAAGTTGATCAAACACGACAAGAAATGGGTCAGGACAATGAGCGGCAACAAAAAGACGATAACCCATTTATTGATTGTATAGAGAAAGAAGTAAATGATCAAAATCAAGTAGTAATAAATAAATATACACCTACTACACTTGGAAGAGCAAGAAGTCAATCAGAATCGGCAGTAAATCGACAAAAATATTCTAATCAACAAAAATCCAAAGTTGACGATATAGATTTGTTGGATGGTGCATCAAATTTGTATGCTGGATGTGAGTGATTTTTCTTTTTTTATTCTTTTTCCTTTCCATTTTCTTCCATTTTTTTTTTTTAAAAAAATAAAAAAGGTTAGATCAAAAATTTATTATTTTTTATTTAATATTTATCATAATCAAATCACCCTTTACGGCCTTTTTTAATCCTTTTTTCTTTTTCTTTTTTTTTTTTAAAAAAAACGAATTGATTTGTTAAAAGTATTTCATCATGAAAGTCCATATGATTGTGTTATATTACATCAAAATATTAACGCATTTAGGAAGAGTGAAGAACTAAATCGTTCTTCGCAAAGTTATAAAAATAATAATAGTAAACACACAACCTATGATGTAAATCCGAAATTTAGGGATAGTTTTTTAGAAGGTTCAACAGCTTATGTTTCACCTCAACCTCAACAGGAAGAAAAAAAAAAGAGACAAAGTTTGTTTAAAAGAATTAGTTTATTTGGTAAAAAGAAGAGTGATTTAGCTTACTTTGAAATTATTGATCAAAGTAAACCTGAACAAAAACAAGAGATTTCTTCGAAACCTCCAAAGAAATTTACGAGAGTTGATATGTTGAAAAAATTTGATTAATCTTTAATAAATCCTCCTTAACGTTTCTAATTCTATTATTTATTTAGAGTTAATTTAATTAAAAAAATATATATCTTTTCAAATGAAAATTTACCAAAACAACGTCAAAACATAAAATTCCTAGGAAATGCTTTTCTCTACCGTTTCTCCTTCATCCACTTCCTTCGCAACGTCAAGTCTGGCTAACCTATTTCGTTCCCTATCCATTTCAATTATTTTGGCTTGAATCTTATATTTTAATTCGTACATCTTTTTACCTAATTCTTTATCTTTCATGGACATCATATATCTGTCCAATCCACCTTTTCTATCAATATATTTAAGAGCGGCTGGGGTGCATTTAATGATTAATTGTTCATTTAACGCTTCGGAATATAATTTAACTCTTTGTACATTCGGTTTCCATGTCCTTCTTGATTTATTACCAAAATCACTTATTTGATTACCAAATTGTATATGTTTGCCTCCATATAACCCTTTTAATGATTGTTGATACGTCGCTTGAGTTCTCCAGGGTACCGTTTCCTTCACTTCTTTTGGCTTCGGTGTTTTTTTTGGTGGTGGTGGGGGTGTAATTTTTATTTGTTTGATTGGGTATAGGTATTTTCCTTGAATATCTCCCAATAACCCTCTTTTTATAGGTTTACGTTTTGTAAATTGACTGGCGAATAAACCAAGCGTTGGATGCATAATTACATTTAGTAAAAGAAGAGGTTGAATAAATTGATCAACGACGAAAACTTTTTTATTACACGTGATTATTAACGGGATCATGTGACATCACAAATGCCGATTATAAAAAGTTCACATTTTTTACATTTTGTATTGCCTATTATAAGTTTATGTAACAAGATTTTTTTTATATTTACATTAATTGGAACTTTTGTAACATTTTTTCACATAAAATTTGTCACCCGTCTCCTCACCAACAAAATTTTGCGCTCACGTGATTGTTTTGCCAGCGTTATGCCATTAAGTGTGGCGTTGCAAAATTAAGACACAATAACAAATAATATGACAAATAGAATTTTACTTACTTTAAAAAAACAAAGTCGCTGAAATATATAATAAAAATGAAAACAGACACTAGGTGACAAATATTTTACCATAATCATGTGAGTGCAAAATTTTGTTGGTGATGCTAGTGATGTTTTTTTTACTATGATTCTGAAGGACTTGGATTCACCGCTAGTTTCACTCTTCCTTAAATATCATTGGTCACGTGAGTACTGATCTATTTGAAATTTACCTCAGTATCATTACAAAAAAATTTCACCTTATTAACTTTAGCTGGCATTATAGAATTCAGTGTTCGCCAAATGATTATGACTGGCAAATGACTCAAATAACAAATAACAAATAACCTGTCATTTCAATAATTTTTAAATATAGCAAATTTTATAAATTTTTATTATTTATTTTGTTTATTATAGTGTAAATAAGTTAAATTTATTAAAATATTTAATTATATATATTAAAAAAAATTATTTCATATTGGGCAAATATTTTATATAGTATATAATAGTATATTAAATTATATTTGAGATCCAAATGAGTCGACTCAAATTATGAGTTAGACAAGTCCAGTAAAGTTAAGTCAAGTGCTAAACTCAAGCTAAAAATTGAACAATTTTTTGTTTCGTTTAAAAGAACGATTAAAAGTATCGTTCTGATAGAACGATAGAAGAATCGTTCTAAAGAAATGATTAAAAGCATCATTCTGATAAAATGATAGAAGAATCGTTCTAAAGGAATGATTTTTTTATCGTTCTGATAGAATAATGATTTATCATTCTATTGGAACGATTTTTTTGTATCATTCCTTTAGAACAATCTTTATTATTCTATTGGAATAATTTTTTGTATTGTTCCGAAAGAACGATGTAGTATTATTCTATTGGAACGATCTTTTATTATTCCTTTAGAAAGACCTTTTATCATTCTTAAGAAATGATTTTTTTTATCGTTCTGATAGAATGATGTAGTATTATTCTTAAGGAACAATTTTTTGTATCATTCCTTTAGAACGACCTTTTACCATTCTTAAGAAATGATTTTTTGTATTGTTCCTTTAGAATGATCTTTTATCATTCTTAAGAAATGATTTTTTCATCATTCTGATAGAACGATTTTTTTGTATCATTCCTTTAAAATGATCTTTTATCGTTCTTGAGGAATGATGCTTTTAATCATTACTTTAGAATGATTCTTCTATCATTCTACATAAACGATCGTTCTATTATCCTTTGGAATAATTCTTTATCATTGGAAGATAAAATTGCGAAACTCGCTAAGAATTTGCGATTCTTTAAGAGTATTGCTAAATTTTTTGTAAAAGCAAATGACTAAATGACAAATAATTTAAATGATCTTAAATGATCTTGATCATTTATCATTTGTCAATTAGATCATTTGTGAAATGACAAATGCTAAATGATTTATGATTATGACAAAGGAATAGATAAATCATTTAAATGGTCAAATGACCAGATCATTTCTAAACACTGATAGAATTTGGCTAAAATTTACCATATGATAATAGATAAAATAAAAAAGTAATGAATGTAATATAGTATGACAAATTTAGGTCACATAAGATGAAATTTTTTTGTAATGATACTGGAAAGATTCTATTTGGATTGGATCAATTTAATCCTAAAATGAATTAATCTTAGAGTATAACTTAAATCAGAATTTAATAGTAAAGTCATATCTAAAGATGGCTCTGCAACTTATTTTTGTTTTAGACTTTCAAGGTATTGGGGTGAATACTTTGTCCTTCTACAGAAATTTGTTTGGAATTACTTTCGGCTAAAGGAGGTTAAATCATCTTGGTCTCCAAATACTACATAATATCATTGGGCTATTAATTCTTCATCCTCATATTTTTCATTATCATCGACTGATTTATTGGTGATAACTATTAGTTGTTAGAAATGGTTAAATTGTGGTTTTCTCCAATAAGTCATTAGTATTTGATGTTCTCTATTATTCCAATAAAATGTAAATTTTTGACAGTTCCAATAAAGTCGTCCTCAGCATTTTGAAAGCCAATCATTTCCTGCTACAATGTAATAATCAGTCGATTCAGTGATATCTACATTGATAGGAATTTCTACCCCATTTAATTGTAAGGGAATATTCATAACTTATCCTAGAAGTTGAGATCGTCCGCTTTGTATATTAATCATTGTTATTGTAGATGCGGATTCAATTTTTCGTTCTAATTGTTACAAAAATGCTTTAGACATTATACTTCCTGCTGATCTAGAATCTAATATTAAATAAATTGGTTTATTGTTCACTGTGGCATTATAATAAATGGCTTCAACTACTTTTGGTAGTTCTAAAGGGTTTATATATTTATTGGTATGCTCACCCTCTAGAGGTACCGTCAATAGTTTAAAGACTGCAATTAAGATGAGAAGGTATTACTATTAGTTACTGGTGTGGATTTGGTACTGGAAAGGTCATTGACGTTTAAGGGGAAAGTGTGAACGTCAAACTATACTTCAGCGTGATTTGAGAGAGTGCAGCACGTTGTCCATTATTAATATTATTATACCCATTTGATGTATTCCGATTAGTATTACTAGTATTATTATTTCTATTTGGGCATAATCTTCCCAATGTCCAAACTGACTACAGAAAAGACATGGTCCTTTGGGTAAGTTATTACAGTTTCTAGCTATATGTTCTATTTGTTAGCAACTATGACAATTAACTCTTACATTTGAGGTATTATTTGGAGAATATCAGTTGTTTTTTCTATTATTTTGGTTGTATTGGAAATTCCTCTGTTGAGTACAGTTCCTAGCAAAATGCTCAGTTTGTTCACAATTATAACAACTTAGGATACTTTGATTATTGTTATTACGATTACTATTATTATTATCACTATTATAACTATTGGTATTATTATTATTTCTCCAGTTATTATTGGTATTCGCAGGGCGAGAAGGTGTAATTTGAGGCTGTGGAGTAGTGTTGGAGGTGGTCAGAAGTTGCTTGAACTCTTTTAGTAACTTTTCATTATTTTTATTAATGAGTTGTTGTATATTTGAAGTAGTATTAAAGGTTTCAGGAATATCATTCTCTTTCTGTGTTAAATATGCTTTGCTTAAGGAGTAACCTGAAATGTACTATCTTTGAATAATACTGCTTCAACAGCCTGTGCTCAATCAATAGCTTTCTCTAAGTCACGTAGTGCAGTAGCAGTGATTGCAATATGAAATTCAGGTCGAAGTCCTTGCAGAAATTGTTCAATCTTTTCATCCTCAGATGTATTATTTTCTCGATCTAATTTAAGGTATAATAATTCAATATCAATAGCATAATCCTCAACTGATTGTCTAGGACATTATTTATACAGCCTAAGTAGAGAATGCTATTGCGTTCATTGATGAGTGATACAATAATGTTTCAAGAAGTGATAGACAAAGGATTAATGCTTATCTTGTCGATCAGTTTAATTATCCCAGTATCATAAATCTTTTCATTTCTGGTTTTATTGTATCAGGTAAGAGCTGAGGCTTTTAAAAATGATGGTACTAGAGTAAGATGTCTTTTATCTGAGATGCCATTTGCATTGCTTACGTTATTATATCTTTCCAATTAATCATGAGGATCTTGGTCTCTACCTTTAAAAGAAGGGAGATTTATGAATTTGCTTTCACGTTATTCACCAAATCCAATATTTTTGAAAACAGTGGTTAGTCCTTTCATATTCAGAAGAAGTCAAGTTGACCTTGACTGGTCGCATTATTTTCATTGAAAGGATCATTTTCAGATTCGTTACTGTCAGAACTATTATGCTCTGATTCAGAGCTAGATAATAAAGAAGAACTATCATAGTAGGAAGAGAAATGACAGCTTCTCCTCTTTTTATTTGACTTTTTCTTTTCAGGCTGACTTTGAAATGGAGGTGATCCTAATTTAGATGAACTAGATTTATTGGAATTCTTTGACTGGAAATTGATCCTTTATTTTTCAATCCAAAC